CTGATGCAGAGCGCTGTGCTCTGCCCTGACCTTCCTTGGATGTGCGCTGCAGTGCAGTGGTTTTGGAGTAGCTAATCTTTCCGATCTTACCAACTGAAGGTCAGCTGTGGGTCAAAGCCGTGACAAGACTGGAAGAAATTTGGAGGCATTACTAGGAAAAAGCAACCAAAAGGTGAGGACTGGCACCCGAGGGAAGGTAAGAATCCCACCACAGACACCCTCCGTTTGTCCCATGGTCTCTGGGGAACTCCTGTAGAAATGATAGTGTAGGGCCCATCACTGTTTCTACAACAATGAGAATATTTATTTTTTCCAGAAAGTAAAAATAACGTTTTTTCTCTTTTGTAAAAGTACCATTACATTCCATTTTCTTAAATAACAAAATCCTAAAAATATATATTAAATTGTATACAGTGCATCACACTTCATCTTATATTTTAAAATACATGATGTTTCTATTTTATTCTCAAAGTTGCATATTAAGAGCATATTTACAAATAAAGCCTTGTCATCCAAAGTCAAAATCCCTGCTGGAAGGTGAGTTTGGATGTGGGAAGGTCTTGACGTGCATGAGCTCCACGATGGCAGTTCCCGTGCAGGCGGGGAAGGGCCCTCCAGTCTTCGTGTCTAAAGACCCTTCCTTTCTGAAGCAGATTTCCCTCTGACTTTCCTCCACACCTCACTTCTGCCTCTGTACCCAACTCAGCAAGACGGAAGCCTGTGAGATGTGCCCACCAGGGGTCTGCAGTCAGAGGGTGAAGCCCTGTCACCCCTGAGCCATCCAGCCTGAGGGGAGACAGCTGTGGCTGGAAGGCTTGAAAAACACCCCACACCAGGGAAGCTAAGCTGAGACCTGGCCAGGAGGTAGAACAGTGAGGAAGGTAAACAAAGACACCAGAGGAAACAATCCAAACTCCCAAGGTAGGAACAAAAGCCGACATCAAACACCACATGGGAGATCTGAGACCTAACTGTGCCAGGTGGTGGAGGGGGGAGCTGCCCGGCCCCGTGGGAGACCTGGCCTGGCCTCAGCAGACCAGGGAGGCAGGGTCTTGGAGGCCATCCGCATATAAGTGCTTGTGAAGAGTAAGTGTGCAGTGCCAGGATGCACTGGGGCTGGGTGATGGCCTGGCTGGGCTGCAGGCAGATCCTGAGCCTGGCCAGGAAGGGTCCTGCCTGGGCTGACAGTGGGGCATGTGGGTGGAGCCACACCCAGGCACTCCGGTGGGTTCTGCCTGAGGGCCAGGACAGCTGAACTTGCTAGTGCTTTGATCTCTGTGGGCTTCTGGCCGATTGGAGTCTTGAGCTGGAGCCCACTCTTCAGAAGTTAGAGCAGCCTGGTTTCCTCGCTCATGCCCAGAGAGGCCTCAAGCCTGTCCTGATGTGGGGGACAGGATGGGTGAAGGCACTCGGGTTCATTCCTACTCATTCTCTGCTTTGCAAGCAACTGGACAAAGGGGGAAGAACAAGGCACCGTGTGCCTCCCGCCTGCCTTCTCAGAAGGGCCAAGGACACTGAGAAACACTGCTAGAAACTAGGGGCCACAGCTGGCCAAGGCATAGTCACCACGGAGAGTGACAAGATCAGCTGGTGAGGGCTCTCCTGTTGGCACATGTACCAAGAAGGCAGGGCCTGGCGCCAGCGGGGAACAGGGTGAGGATGGCATGCAGGCCCAGTGCCCCGGCAGCCTCCTCCCACGCTCTGTCACCTCAGGAGAGGCTTTGGCCAGGGTGCTTTCAGAGCTCCGTCCACAGTGGTCCCCAAAGCCCCTCCCCTGCCTCTTCCACAGTCTTCTGCCATGCGTTCTGACGTTGACTCCCAAGGTTACCCTCTTCCCGCCACCTCCAACCCCCACTTTATCTCATCCAAGGAGTTTCCTCAAAGCTGAAGTGCCACCTCCTCCGTGCTCCTGGAAGCCCATGTCATCTCTTCTGGAACAGTTTCTTTCTTAGGTGTTTACTTAGCTGCAGTGGCCTTCTGTGGGGTGTTGCTGACTTTCTAAGTGGTTCTAACTGAGCCCATAGCCAGGCTGCGCAGGACCCAGCACCCATGGAGGCTTAGCCTGGGATGATTTACAGCCCTCCTGCCCCTACGCTGTCCTGAGCCAGGTTTGGGTTTCCCGGGGCTGCTCCACGGATTGTAAGTTGATCCTAGAGGCACTGGGCCATGCCAGGGCCAGGCAGGAGGAGAAGCGCTGGGGCATCCCCGGCACCTCCCAGGCCCTCCGAGGAAGTGCTGCCCCCACTGCAGGCTCCAACAGCACATTGGCCTAGGCATGGCCTCCCCTGACTGAGATGTGAGGAGGGCAAGGTGGGCATTTGGGCTGTAGGACACCCCAGAGGCCAGTGGTCAGTGTCAGCCCCAGGCAACTGAACAACTGCCCCCTGGCCGGGTGAACTCTTCCTGGGGCCACATGCCACATTCCCTTTGTGCTGCACATGGCTCTATTCACAGCACAGGGCCTGCTGGGATGACACACACATGACACTTGTGTTTGAGATTCCACAATCAGTGTGAATAGCTTGGAGGGGAGACTGCACGTGTCGATATGTTTCCAGCGGTCCTCCTGTGTGACGGGCCTCTTGGAGACAGAGGCCTGCGGACAGCTGCTCTTTCCAGATCAAAGCATGAAGCCTGCACCGAGCAGCTCTGTGCCCTCAGCTGGCCTCCCACGGGGCCTGGAGTGGCAGTCCTGACCCTGTCTGCCTGTGACACATTGCTCCATTTCCCTCCTCTGAAGGCCCCTTTGCCTGAAGCTCTGAGCACCTCTCCTGAACTCAGGCTGCCGAGTGTCACCTCTCCCTGCAGACACTTCCCGTGTGGCCCTCTTTCCTCCCAGGGGTGGCAGGTGCAGAGGTGTTGCCAGAACCTCAGTAGGAGCCCCAGCAGGCAGTGGCTCAGGGCTTGGGGGAGGTAGGCAAAGTGCTGCAAAGAGGAAACGCCAAGGCCAGAGGTGCAACAATCACCCAGGCCCGAGTGCCTTGGGGAGAGGCACGCTCTGACGAGGGCCTAGGCCTGGCCAGCAGAGGCACAGTCCGCTTTTCTCAGCTGCTGTTGACAAAGCCTGCTTTCAGATGGCAAGGACTTTTAAATTAGCGATGGCACTTACCTCCCAACCAGCAGCCACTACAGCTGCAGCTCTCAATCTTAGGAGGAGCTCCTTGGAGGAGCTCCAATTCCCAAACCCACCCTCTCCTCGCACCAATCTTTGCAGCCCACCTCCCTATCTAAGGGACAGGTTGACATGGGACTGGGGACAAGAGCCCTCTCCTTCCCCACTGAGCCATTCCTAACCCCACATGATCCCCACAGGAGGGGCAGAGAGCACGGATGGCTCTTGGGGTGTTTTTTATCTTTTAACACGGGGGACGCCAGAAGGAAGGACCACAGGCCCCATGTCTCATGTAGTGCTGCCTAAAGGCAAAAACACAAGATTGATACTCTCTGCTCTGAACTGAGAGTTAGCTGAGCCAATCATAGAGAGACCGAGGCCTGGCTCAGGTTCCATAGGACCATGAGCTGCTCAGGGGCAAGGCTGATAAATCCAATCCTGAGTGCCCATAAAAGCTTGCAGGAGAATTTGTTGCATGAGTAAATGAATGGTGTTTTTTGTTTATTTGTTTTTTGTTTTTTTTGAGACAGAGTCTCACTCTTGACGCCCAGGCTGGAGTGCAGTGGTGCAATCTTGGCTCACTGCAACCTCCGCCTCCCGGGTTCAGGCTATTCTTGTGCCTCAGCCTTCTGAGTAGCTGGGATTACTACTCAGTGATCCCAGGTGGCTCCTACCACCATGCCTGGCCAATTTTTTTTTTTTTTTTTTTTTTTTTGAGACAGAGTCTCACTCTGTCATCCAGGCTGGAGGGCAGTGGTGCAATCTCGGCTCACTGCAAGCTTGGCCTCCCAGGTTCACGCCATTCTGCTGCAGCCTCCCAAGTAGCTGGGACTACAGGCACCCGCCACCAAGCCCGGCTAATTTTTTGTAGTTTTAGTAGAGACGGGGTTTCACTGTGTTAGCTATGATGGTCTCGATCTCCTGACCTCGTGATCCGCCCGCCTTGGCCTCCCAAAGTGCTGGGATTACAGGCGTGAGCCACCGCGCCCAGCCGCGCCTGGCTAATTTTTATACTTTTAGTAGAGATGGGGTTTCACCATATTGGCCAGGCTGGTCTCGAACTCCTGACCTTAGGTGATCTGCCCGCCTCAGCCTCCCAAGGTGCTGGGATTACAGGCATAATCCTGTTGTGCCCGGCCGAATGGATGTTTTATATGACCAAAGCTCTTCAAGCTTTCCCTGCAGCTCCATGAGCTATGGAAAGAAGAATCTAGAAAGAAGCCCATGTGTAAAGTATCAGGTTTGATATAAATGGGGGTCACTAGATCTTATTCTCAGACCCTCCCAGGCTGGAGAAGGCCCATCCTAGTCCAGCATTTGGAGAGCAAAGTTGCCAGGGCAGCACAGACACCGCCCTCTTTACACCTCACTAATGTCCAGGAGTCCACGCTTGCATGGGACCAGACCAACTCCCAAGAATACCTGAGAGTTCTCCCTGTCTGGCCCTGTTCCAAGCCATAAAGACCAGGAGAAGAGCAGAAGCAAGAAAAATTCAATGTAACTAAACCTACCCACCACCTGACAGCCATCTAGAATGTACCTGAGCCCAGTGCCAGCCATGACCACCTCTGTCATTTCAGCCTCACTGTCCTGACACCTCCACTGCTAGCTAGATCAGAGAGAGAGATGCAGAGAGCGCTGGGCCCCAGGGCCTTGAGTCTCTCTCCTAAGTGAAACCGATGAAGCAGGAGGAATCCAGGCTGTGCCTGCCCTGGCAGCAGGGTGCCTCTTCCTAGTTTGTAGGAGGGCGCCCCCGAAGAGGCCGAGGCAGAGGGAGAGGCAGGGAAGAGTCTGTCAGAGAAGAACCACAGGAGGGGTTGACCCCAGCAGCCTTGAGCTCAAAGAGGGCCCTCGAATCCTAGGCACAGCAGGGTTTTTAGTCACTCACAAGAGGATTGCGGTCATCTTGTTGACTCTGACCCTTGAGTTTCTTCTTAAAGATGGAAATCGAAGTGGAAGGCTTGTAAAAAATGCTCCAGATTTCCCCTGAAGTCCCTGGTTGATGACAATCCCTAAGGTCCCCTGAAGCAGGAACACGATGGGATCTGTCAAGCAGATAAATAATTTTTCCAATAGATTAGAACAAAGCACTCCAAACAACCTACCATCTCATGAGATACTGTATGTAGGAAATGGGGTGGGGCAAGGTCTGGGAAGGACCTCACAGCCACCTCTAAAGATCTGAAGGACTAGTCTGCAGCTGAAATGAGGCCAAGTGCAGCAGGGCAGCGTCCGCATCAGAATAACAAAGAACTTTCTAACTAGCGGAATTCTTCGAATCTGGAAAAGCCCAGCCTGAGAGAATATGAATTTTCAAATTCTTTTATTTTAAATAAAAGAACTATCTTCAAATGCCATTTACCTGGAAGCCCACTTAGCTAAAACAAGATAAACGCAAAACTTCTCTGCTTCAAGCAGAGATCCGTCTAGCCTCCGGTGCTGCCCCAGACTCTGTTCGGTCCCGGCAGCTGCCTGGCAGGGAAGCTGCAGCTGATGTCAGAGGAGAGTTAGGCATGCACTTTAAGGCCTCAGCCATGCTGTCAGATGCTGGATGCTATAGGAAGCATCAGGCTTTCTTGCTGCCACAGGGGATGTGGTCAGGACTGAGCCTGAGAGGCTTCCCCAGAACATGTGAATTGTGACTTTAAAACACACAGACACACACACACAGACACACACAGACACACACACAGACACACACACACGCAGACACAGACACAGACACACAGACACACACACACAAGGACATTATTTCCACTGAAAAATTTCAAGTGTAGGGTGGAGGTGTCTATGTAAAGTGGTTCCAATGTGGCCAAAGGCAGCCTTCACAAGGCAATAGAAGAGCTCGCATTGAATGTATAAGAAGTCTGTAGCACAGGGCAAGTGAGATGGTCAGGAAAAAGACAGCTTTTAGTGGACATACATACATTTTCAGGGAGGCTGTGAAATGAGAAGAACCTTGACTAGAAACCACCGGAAAGACAGAGTAGGGGTCTAGGAAAAATTAGAACAAGCTCCCCTCTAAGTACACAAACATCAGTAGCATGAACAATTGCCCCTTTCCTGGAAGGTACAACTGTTAGACTTGAGTAGCAAAATAAGGGAAGGAAATATATTTTCCCCCACATTGGTCAGAATTGAATGATAAAGCTTCCATAAGTTTCTTCAATAACTGTTTTAAAATAACTACTAGGCCGGGCGCGGTGGCTCAAGCCTGTAATCCCAGCACTTTGGGAGGCCGAGACGGGCGGATCACGAGGTCAGGAGATCGAGACTATCCTGGCTAACACGGTGAAACCCCGTCTCTATTAAGAAATACAAAAAAAAAAAACTAGCTGGGCGAGGTGGCGGGCGCCTGTAGTCCCAGCTACTCGGGAGGCTGAGGCTGGAGAATGGCGTGAACCCGGGAGGCGGAGCTTGCAGTGAGCTGAGATCCGGCCACTGCACTCCAGCCTGGGCGACAGAGCAAGACTCCGTCTCAAAAAAAAAAAAAAAAAAAAAAAAAAAAAAAAAAATTAACTACTAAGCAATAGTGAATAAAATGTGAGAATTCTCTTCCTAAGGATGTTTCTCAATTTCTAGAAGGCATCAGGAAGTATGCACCGCATCATCCTAGCTATCTTCAATCCTGCATAAAGATCTCCGTAAGGGACTAGCACATTTGCTTTTTAAGCCAGGAATGTTGCAATCCTCCTTGAAATTGTATGCTTTGGACACAGCAAACAAAATCCCTCAAACCTTAATGAGATTTGTCCAGTTGTACATTTCACTCTACAGAGAAGGGGGAATGTCTGCTGCCTTCCATTCCCTAGGACTGAGGGCCTTGGAATCATCTGCTGATTCTACAGTTGTACCCAGACAAATGAAGCATCATAGAAAACAAACTCTGAGCCTTCCCTTTCCTGGAATCGGGCAGCTCCCTCTCGTACTCACTTGAATGTGACGTGCAGAAGTATCTTTGCTACAATGGCTGTGACTGTGAGGATGAGGAGAGTTGCCAGACCATAGACTGTCCATCCTGCAAATGCAAAAGATAGAGCTTTACTAGGCTTGTTTGTGGCTGGTTTCCGAAAGGAAGTTAGCTAGAATACCCAAGTGAGTAAGTCTGACTGAGGGGCTCCCTGCAGGCCGGTGTGGGAGGGCAGCCAGCAAACCCAGCCTCAGGAGCAGCTGAGACCCAGGCTAAGCATGGGGCCCCAGGTGTTCTGAATACTTCCCTTTGTTCCACAAGTCACTCTCAGGGAGAGGCAGGCAGGATGATCCAAAGTCTACTGGACTCAGAATCTAAAGGGATGATATGCATTTTGTCTCTGCCACTGGGACCACTGTGCAACCACAGATGGAGTTATGTAAACTCTTTGGGCCTCAGTTTCCTCATCTGAGGAATGAGATGTGGCCTATGAGATGCTACTGAGATCCATAGCCAAATGACACACAGGAAGTGCTGGACAGGCCCTTCTCCCTGACCTTCTATGGTGGGTCCTGCAGGGGCCCCGGGCAGTTGGAAAGCCTCCAGGCTAGGTCACTACTGAGGGTACTTTCCAGTTCTACCAGCTCATAAAATCATCACTTCCTTGGCTCACGGCATCCTCAAGCTCCTGGGCTCAAGCAATTCTTCTGCCTCAGCCTTCCGAGTAGCTGAGACTATAGGCATGTGCCACTATACCCAGTTAATTTTTCTATTCTATTCTTTTCTTTTTGAGACAGGGTCTCATTCTGTCACCCAGGTTGGAGTGTAATGGTGCAATCATAGCTCACTGCATTCTTGAACCCCTGGGCTCAAGCCATCCTCCCACCTCAGCCTCCTAAGTAGCTGGGACCACAAGCGTGCACCACCACACCCAGATAATTTTTTTATTTTTTGTAGAGAAAGGGTCTCCCTATGTTGCTCAGGCTAGTCTCAAACTCCTGGCCTCAAGCCATCCTCCTGCCTCAGCCTCCCAAAGTGCTGGGATTACAGGCGTGAGCCACTGCACCTGGTCCTGCATGACTTTTCTTCATAGCTCTTATAATTATCTCATTTTTATTTTGCTTTCTGTCTTTCTCTTCTCATTTATATGTCACAGAAGGGCAGGGATTGTGTTTGGTTCACTGTATAATCCAGTACCTAGCACAGTGCCTGGCACCACTGAAGCACTTATATATCTTTTGAATGAATGAGTCAGTGAGTGAATGAATGGAGTTCTTGGAAATGCCAATAAATTTAGGGAGTTTCAATGTGGGGCTCTAGAAAGATAATCTTAACGTGGGAAAATACAGGATTAGCTGATTAGTCACAATCCACAAAAGGCATACTTGCCTAATCTTTGGAGGTGAGTACTTTTCCCTCAGGACTAAGGAACCAATTAATAAGAAAATTTCCCTCAAAAACCAGGACAGACTATAGGTCACAGAGTCAATATCCCAACCTGCCTCTGAATAAGAAACACCCAAGTGCTTTTGTCTTTATAACTGTCAAAAGCGCTACCTTCAACTCTGTGGCTTCCAGCCCCCATGGGTGGCGCCCAGGAATTGCTACCTGGGACAGTCTGAGGTGGGTGGCTGGGGCTGGTGGTGATGACATAGAGGACTTTGGAGGACCGGGCAGCGCTGACACTGAGGTTGGCCTGCTCTGTGATCACCTCGGCCACTGTCTGGTTGACAGCGGGCCTCTCCTGTGGCAGTTCTTCCTTGACGGCTGGAAGAGAAAAAGCAATTAACTGGGGCCAGGGCTATGGAGACTCAGAGCTGAGCGGGGGGAGAGCACGAGTTAAGAAGAACAAGCCTTCTGCTCTATTCAGTTCTGGTGCAGTTCCTTCCATGGGCGGGTCCCTGTCATTAGACCTACTAAAATAGCCACACTGACAGGTTTTCACCTCTTTTCTGTCTCATGAAATATAAATGAGTTATGAAATGGGGGTCGGGAAGGAGCCACAGCCTCGGGATGATCTGCAAGTTGAGTCAGTAGTTCCTGAGTCCCAATCCGCCCAGCAAGAACTGCCCAAGTCACAAGGGTAAAGAAGAGAAGCCCGAGGCACATGGGCCCTAAAGAGCCCCCAAGGAGGCAAGGATGTCTCACCTTGGTATAAAACAGCAAATCCCTGGGCCTGATTGATGCGATCAGAGAAGAAATACAAGATGACGAAGTCCAGAGAGACGTTGAAGGACAGAGGTGGGCGGTTCCTCCCGTGGAAGCGGGCTAGGACACGGTGGGTGTAGCCATCTAGAAGCTCCACCATGTCCGCCGAGTCCCTGATGTCAAATAGGGGGAAGCTGAAGTGGATGCGGGAGGCCCCCGGAACCCGGATGGTCCAGTAGCAGACCCTCCCCGTGGCATAGGTGTCGGGAAAGTCAGGGGAATAGACCACAGAAGACATGGCTGAGTAGTTCCCACCGCAGGCGCCGACGAGAGCTGTAGGAGAGAAAAAGACACCATGCCCTCAGTCTGGGCCTCTGCCACAGGCACGCTTCCAACACCAAGGCTCTAAAGGCTTCCTAACGAGCAGGATCCCATTTAGGACATTGTTTCTATCTGTAAAACCAGACAGTCTTATGTTTCAGGATCGAGTCACAGAATGAATCGCTGAGACTCTGGACAAATGACTGTGGAGATGTTTTTCCCCCCAGAGACCTTAGAATTAGCACACAGCACAGTGGTGTGGCCTAGGTTGGGGCTGGGCTGGAGTCAGAGAGTCTGGACTTGGGACTGGCAGGGCCAAGTGATGGCAGGGGCCGCACGTCACTCGCGGGCGTCTTGCTTCTCTCAGTTTCAAGGCTGGAGAGAGCACCACCTGCTCCTGTATCACAGGAATGTGCGACGGCACATGAGACAAAGCACACAAACCGCTGGGGCCTCTCTGCAGGGGAGCCACCCGATGAGGTAAAGTCGTCACAAGAGAAGGGCTTTACAGTTGCTCGTGTGTCCCCAGTATCCTTGCAACGCTCCCATGAGGGACCATGTTTTCAAGCAGAGAAACTGAGGCACAAGAAATGACTTTCTGCAGTGAGGAAACACGCTAGATTCTAAGCACTCTGTACTGAGCACATTTGATTTCTCTGGACTCCTGTTTTTGATAGGCAGGTCCTAGAAAGGGGATGCAGTGGTTTCCTGTCTTACATGGTGAAATGTAAACAAGATCTTAGAACTGAAACTCCTTGGGAGGGAGTGTAGGGCTAGGAATTTTTTTTTTTAAAGACGGAGTCTCGCTCTGTCACCCAGGCTGGAGTGCAGTGGCGTGATCTCGGGTCACTGCAAGCTCCGCCTCCTGGGTTCATGCCGTTCTTCTGCCTCAGCCTCCCAAGTAGCTGGGACTACAGGTGTCCACTACCAGGCCAGCTAATTTTGTTTTTGTATTTTTAGTAGAGACAGAGTTTTACCATGTTAGCCAGGATGGTCTCGATCTCCTGACCTCGTGATCCGCCCGCCTCAGCCTCCCAAAGTGCTGGGATTACAGGCATGAGCCACCGTGCCCAGTCAGGGCTAGGATTTAAAAAGCAGGCTTTGGGGGAGTTCTGGTTCCCTTTAGGATGTAGAAAACAACAAGCAGCCCGGGTGCAGTGGCTCATGCCTGTAATCCCAGCACTTTGGGAGGCCGAGGCAGGTGGATCACCTGAGGTCAGGAGTTAAAGATCAGCCTGATCAATATGGTGAAACTCCGTCTCTACTAAAAATACAAAAATTAGCTGAGTTTGGTGGTGTGTGACTATAGTCGCAGCTACTAGGGAGGCTGAGACAGGAGAATTGCTTGAATCTGGGAGGCGGAGGTTGCAGTGAGCTGAGATTGAGCCACTGCACTCCAGCCTGGGCAACAGAGCAAGACTCCATCTCAAAACAACAACAACAACAACAACAACAACAACAACAAGCAAATGCTGCTTCCATCCTAACAATGAGAAAAAGCTTAAAATTCAGCTGAGGTCTCATGACAACCAGGGGAACTTAATTCTACAAAGTCAAAGCCCCACCAAGGAGAGTCAGGCCACACAAATAGTTTCATCTTTGAGAGAACACAGGAGGAAGAGGTGACTGCCAGAGAAGTAACAAGAAAGCACTAAAATCTTAACAAACTCTTTTTTTTTTTGAGACGGAGTCTTGCTCTGTCGCCCGGGCTGGAGTGCAGTGGCCGGATCTCAGCTCACTGCAAGCTCCGCCTCCCGGGTTTACGCCATTCTCCTGCCTCAGCCTCCCGAGTAGCTGGGACTACAGGCGCCCGCCACCTCGCCCGGCTAGTTTTTTTTTTTTTTTTTTTTAGTAGAGACGGGGTTTCACCGTGTTAGCCAGGATGGTCTCGATCTCCTGACCTCGTGATCCGCCCGTCTCGGCCTCCCAAAGTGCTGGGATTACAGGCTTGAGCCACCGCGCCCGGCCAACAAACTCTTAAAGGCTGAGAGTGGGCTAGTGTCTTAGCTTAGGGCAACTGGGCATCCCAGACACAATGGGCATTTTGCCCTCACTTGCGAGCTTTTCTGCACAGACCTCTACTCAGTGCTTTCACAAGTGACTTAGGTTGGCCAGCAGACCATAGTCCCCCTGAGTGGCACAAGTGTGCAGGAGGTGACAGGCTGCCACTGGGGGACAGGCATGAAATACTGCCCACTTCCTTCTCTTTGCACTTGCAGGAGGGGACTCTCCTCTCTAAGAAAGGAAAAGCCTTCGGCCGCTGGGAGAGGGGAAGCAAATCCTGTTACTCCCAGGGCCACTGAAAACGGGCAGAGGCAAAATCTGTTTGCCTCTGGGGGAGGGAGTAGATCTGATTTGACTAGAAAAGTCTATACCAAACACCATTTCACAAACCCAAATTTCAGTCTCCTTGAAATTCTCCTTCCTGTCAAAGTAACCAGGTGAAGATCCACTGCTTCTGGGGGAAGAGCAGAAGCAAAAGCCATTGGTCCCTGGTTGCCTTGAGCCCTCTTAAGCCCAGGATCCTGCAGCCAATGCAAAGCAGAGCTCTACTACTCCTGGAGGGAAGGCAAGAAATTATCTTTCCCAAGATCCACCACAGATGCAAGCAGTGTTTGGCTGCCAGGGAGAGAAGAAGGGTGTGGGAATGCTGAAAAGACCTCAGGCCGGTGGCCTTTTCACATCCTGTCTAAGACTGAGGACAGGGCAGGAGAACCAAGAACCACTCCCATGACCTCATCATGAGTAGAGCCAGGTAACAAGCAGCCATAGCCTACCACTGAGGGAGGGAAAGAGGATGGAAAAAGAGCCCATCTGCGGCACAGGCATGTAGGAACTCCTCAAAGCTGAGGATGGAACAGGACTACTGAGGAAAACTCATGGATACCCTAGGCTCCACACTAAGCACAAGCTGATAGCAACCCATTGCTGGAGGAGTTTAAAGCCTGATGTGCATTGAGGGTAGTGAGAGAAACAACCCAGCTCAACTTCTGACAGACTGGCTCAGTCCCTACACTATGCAGATCTGCCCAGGTGTAAACACTATCTCAGCCTCTTCTATACATAGTATATGGCATTCAATAAAAAATTACAACCCACATATAAAAGCAAGGGTGGCAGGGGGGAAAGACATGGTTAAGAGATAAAACAATCTACAGAACTAGACTCAGTGATGACCCAGATGCTAGAACTATCAGACAGAGACTACACGATGAATACAGTAAATAATCTACTGGAAGTGAGGCATGGTGGCTTATGCCTGTAATCCCAACACTATGAGAGGCCAAGGGAGGAGGATCTCTCGAGGCTAGGAGTTAAAAACCAGCCTGAGGAACACAGTGAGACCCCATCTCTACAAAAATTTTAAAATTAGCCAGGCATGGTGGTGTGTGCCTGTAGTCCCAGCTACTCAGGATTCTGAAGCAGAAGGACCACTTGAGCCCAGGAGGTCAAGACTGCAGAGAGCTATGATTGCACCATTGCACTCCAGCCTGGGTGGCAGAGTGAGACCTTGTCTCTTAAAAAAAATAAAAATAAAAATAAAACTACTGGAAATAAAACAATATGAGAGATGCATTTTTTAAAATTATAGAATGCGTCATGAATCTGCATGTCATCCTTGCACAGGGGCCATGCTAATCTACTCTGTTTTTTTCCAATTTTAGTATATATGCTGCTGAGGCAAGCACTGAAGAATTCCTTTGATAGGCTTATCAGGAGACTAGACACAGCTGAAGAAAGAATCAATAAACTTGAAGACAGGTCAATAGAAATTATCCCCAAATGAAACAAAGGGGAAAACAAAGAGAACAGAGCACCCAACAGCTGTAGGACAATATCAAATGGTCTAACGTAAGTGTAACTGGAATGCCAAAAGAAGAAAAAAAGAATATAGAAGAAATGTTTGAAAAGATAATGGTGAAAAATGTTCCAAAATCAATAAAAGGTGACAAACTACAGATCCAAGAATCTCAGCAAACCCAAGCAAACAAACAAAAAATTAAAAACAAAAACAAAAGCAAAACAAAAAACAAAACAAAAAAACAAACCAACACACAAAGAAGACACATCATAGTTAAATGTTGAAAACCAGTCTGAGTATGGCGGCTTATGCCTGTAATCCCAGCACTTTGGGAGGTCAAGGTAGGAGGATTGCTTGAGCCCAGGAGTTCAAGACCAGTCTGGGTAACAGTGAGACCCTGTCTCTACACAAAATTAAAAACTTAGCTGGGTGTGGTGGCACATGCCCATAGTCCCAGCTACTCAGGAGGCTAAGGCAGGATTGCTTAAGCCCAGGGGGTCGAGGCTACAGTGGGCCATGACTGCACTACTGCACTCTAGCCTGGGTGACACAGTAAGACCCTGTCTCAAAAAAAAAAAAAAAAAAAAAAGTTGAAAACCAAAAAGATAAAATCTTGAAGGCAGGCAAGGAAGAGGAAAAGATTACATACAGGGGAATAAAGATAGAGCATACACCTCTAGAAACCATACAAGTCACAAGAATATGGAGCAATATCTTTGAAGTACTGGAAGAAAAAAGCTGTCATCACAGAAATCAATACCCAGCAAAAATTACTCTCAAAAATGAAGGTGAAATAAAGCTTTTTCAAACAAAAGGAGAAAGAAGCCATTGACAGTCAACCTGTACCAGAGAAAATGCTAAAGAAATTTCTTTAGGGGAAAGGAAAATACCAGATGGCAAATAAGAATATGAAAAGATGTTCAATATGATTGGTAATTAGAGAAATGCAAATTAAAACCACAGTGAGATACTACTACATACCTACTAGAATGGATCACATTTAAAAATCAGATCATACAAAAGTATCTGTAGGTGGAGAGAATGTGGAGCAAATGAAAATCTTACATATTGTTGGTCAGAATGCAAAATGGCATATCCACTTTGGAAAATAGTTGGCAGTGACTCATAATGCTAAATATGCAATTAGCACATGACCCAGCAATCCCACTCCTAGGTAGGTACCCCAGAGAAATGGCAACGTATGTCCACATAAGCACCTGTACTTGGATGTTTACAACAGCTTTATCATAGACAGGCCAATGTTTGTCAATTGGTGAATGGATGAACAGACTGCAATACATCCGTACAAAGGAATGCTTCTTAGCAATAAAAAGGAAAAAATTACTGATACAGGCAACAACATAGGTGAATGATAAAGCATTATTCTAAGTGAAAGAAGCCAGACACAAATGGTTAAATACTGTGATTCCATTTATATAATATTCTGCAAAACACAAACTATATATATATATACATACTCTATATATATATAACTATATACTTGCCCAGGATAGACCCGGGCAAGCTCTCCATGGCAGGAGGCCAGTATCCTCCTGCCATCTGTGATTCTCTTCAACCTTCCTGCTCCTCCTCGATACTAGCTGAGTCCATTTCTTTCGGAAGAAGCCTCAGGCACTAGCCAGGACAGGCAGCTCCCTGAACCCCAGCTGAGTGCTCCACTTCTAGACAGGAATGATAATGGGTGTGTCTCAGGAAACAAACCTCAACCAAATGGGTCCCAGCCATGAATCAGATTCCACTCAGGATGGAAACATTCCACTCTTTCTTGGCACCTAAGAAAGAAGGCTGGTACCATATTTCATCAACTCTAAGGGAAACACTTTAATCTTTTAAACTGGGATGTATCTTTTAGTCAATGCATGTCACTGTTAAATTGGAAATTTTTTTTCCCTTAATGGTGTATAAAATAATACTGCACCTCAGAATTGAGGCATCTTAGACTCTATGAAATAAAATTGCTAACACAGTCCCGGGAACCAGATTATACCCATCCTTAGACCCTCAATCACTTTCACAATTAATCTCTTCCCTTCCCCCTAAAATAAAGGTTCCATGAAGGCAGGATCTTTATCTGTGGGACCTTGGGCAAATTACTGAACTTTTATGAGCCTCAGTTTTCTTATCTGTAAAATAAGCATAACAGTACCTGCTTCACAGTACTGTGAGAATTAAGGGAAGCAACGCATGTAAAGTGAATAGCACAGGGCCCTGTCAATGATAAGTGTTCAACTAATGCTACAAAATGAGGTCCAATCCAGATGACTGATCCCTCCCTTCAGGGCCTAGAAGCCAAGAGAGTCCCAAGAGGCTAGCCCGGGTCATTCCCGTAACCCTCTGTTGACTCTGGCCTACATGTTTTTCTATTTGGTTCTGTTAATTCAATAAATTATAATCCCAGGGGTGCAGAGGTTCTGAAGCCCCCATCAGTGTTGTGTTTACACACAGTACACAGCTCACCTCAGTGACCTCTCCAAGTCCATGAGAGCTTGCTGAAAAATCAGCCAGAGAGTCCGTGACAAATTACTTGATGTGGCAATGATGACTGAGCAGACAGCTTCTTCCAGCTGCCCCTCACCCTCCACCCCCACTAGCCCCGTCGTCTCTCTCCTGAAGAGCAAACACAGCCTGAGCGCTTCTACTGCAGAGGAGCCTGGGTGCTCCTCTAACCAGCAGAGGACAGGAAGACCTCGCCGACACTGACTGAGACCCACATGCGAGCCACGCTGGTAGCAGGGCCTCATGTTCTGGGAGACAGACTGTAATCTGGTCATTTCTCACCATCTAACTTCTCCAATATCTTTAGGAAGACATTTTCTCCCTCCCAAATCATGGGACAGTCTGTAGTCACCATTTCCAAAGTGCTCAGCCTTGTTCAATGAGTCATAAGGATTTCCATGAGGTGGTACTTGAGCTGTTTGAACTATTTTACTCTCTACTAGATGGACCTTTTTTTTTGAGATGGAGTGTCACTCTGTTGTCTAGGCTGGAGTACAGTGGTGTGATCTTGGCTCAGATCTCGGCTCACTGCAACCTCTGCCTCCCAGGCGATTCTCCTGCCTCAGCCTCCAGTGTAGCTGGAATTACAGGCGTGCGTCCCCGCACCAGCCTCTAGATGCACCTTTAGAGATTAGTTATACAGTGCTGCATTTTGTACCTTTCTCAGCAGAGCAATGGGGTGTGAGTTATAGAACCGGCTGCTGTCAGGGGTCCTGTAGACCACACGCATCTGGGCCTCTGGAGGATGGCGTGAGCAGCCTCTCAGAATGCCAACTTTCTTAGTCCTTGAGCAAATGCAAGCCAGAAAGGGCAGTTTCTGGAGAGCTGCACAAGGGGCCAATGTGGTAATAATCAGAACTGGGTATACTTTGTTCAATAACTTTAAAGCATAAAACTGCATCCATTATTATGATCTGTTTTACTATTGTTAATAAAAGGGATTCTAGCTGCTGAAAATAAAAATATTTCAAATGTGGCAAACCAGGGTTTGAATCCTGGCTCTGGCACTTACTAGCATAGACAAATCACTTCATCTTTTGATCCACAGTTTTCTTATCAACAGGGTTGCTACAAGGATTAAATAACATAAAATACACAAAAGCACTTGGCATCAAGTCTAGCACACAACAAACACTTGATAAAGAGCAATAACTGTTGTTATAATTAATTCACTTCAGTGCACCTTTATGTGAGGGTCAGTACAGTTTCCTAGTAGTACCAAGGATGCTACTAGGTGTGCACTTTAGAGACGATTTCCACAGTGCTGCATTTAACATTTAATCCAGATTATTTCTATTTGACACCTCCAGTAAAGCCTCTATACTAAAGAAAACATACTTTTATCTACCCCACAGCAGATGCCCAATAAAAATGTGCTAAATGAAAGACTGTCTTATAAAAACTATATTCTATTTTTTCTTGATCTAAAATCCACCATTTTAACCATTTTAAAGTACAGATGTTCCTTGACTTATAATGGGGCTATGTCCTGATAAATCCATTGTAATTGAAAATATCAAAGTCAAAAATGCATTTAACACTCTAATAAACCTACTGTAAAGTTGAAAAATCATAAGTTGACTCTCCTAAGTTGAGGACTATCTATATATGAATCAGTGGTATTTAGTATATCCATAATGTTATACAATCATCATCCCTATCTAATTCCAGAACATTTTATCACTCTAAAAAGAAAATCCGTACCTATTAAGCAGTCACTCCATATTCTTCCCTTTCCCCCAGGCCTTGGTAACCAGGAATCTGGCTTTTGTTTGTGTGGATTTGCCTATTCTGGACATTTCATGTAAATGAGATCATAAAATATATAGCCCTTTGCATCTGGTTCTTTCATTTAGGATAATGGTTTCAAGGTTCATCCATGTTGCAGGATGCCTCAGTACTTTATTTATTTTTATGGTTGAATAATATTCCATCATATGGATAACCACTTGGTTTATCCATTCATCAGCTGATGGACATTTGGTTTGCTGCCGCTTTTTGGCTATTATGAATAATGTTGCTAGGAACATTGGTATGTACGTTTTTTGTGGAAACGTGTTTTCAGTTCTCTCAGGTATATACCTAAGAGTGGAACTGCTGGGTCATACAGTTACTCTCTGTTTCATGTTTTGAGGAAATGCCAGACTGTTTACTTTTTCTTTTTCTTTTGAGATGGAGTCTCACTCTGTCGCCAGGCTGAAGTGCAGTGGCGTGATCTCAGCTCACTGCAACCTCCACCTCCTGGGTTCAAGCAATTCTCGTGCCTCAGCCTCCCATGTAGCTGGGATTACAGGCACGTGCCACCACAACCAGCTAATTTTTGTATTTTTAGTAGCGACGGGGTTTCACCATGTTGGCCAGGCTGGCCAGACTGTTTCCCAAAGCAGCTGCACCATTTTACATTCCCACCAGCAATGTATGAGGGTTCCAGTTTCTCCATATATCTGCAAATACTCATTTTCCATTTTTAAATTGACATTACATTCTATTTAAAGTAAAAAACCAGGTAGTAAACCCTCACACTACTCCTCTTTCCTCTCTAGCACCTCTCTAGTGGCTTCCTGGCAGTGTGGATCCCAGCAAGTTATTTATCCTGTCCATGTCATATGGCTCTCTTCTGTGAAATGAGAGTAATCACAATAACCCCTACTTCAGAAGGGTGCCAAGAGGACCTAATGTGATAATTTAGATAAAGCCTTCATGCATACTAGGTACTCAAGAAACATTTATTTCCTTTGTTTTTTCACTTAAGAGTATACCAGGCATTTTGCAAGTTCAGAAAACTTACTCTCCTGAGTTAAGAGTGTTAAGGCAGAGAATCTTATAATACTGAACTCTAGAATAAAAGGTTAAATAGATGTGTAGTGCATAGTTATTTGCCAACTAAGCATTAGCAAGATTCCTTAATCATTAGCCAAAGTTCAGTCTTTAGCCAAAACAAAGGTATCAAACTAAGCATTGGTCCGGACATAACAGGATGTATAGGAATCAACTGGCAGTCTCCAATGAGCACACTTAGCTAAAAAAACCAATTGACTGCAAGTTCTGTTCACTAATCCTGTCTTCCCACCCCAAATACAAACACAGTTCAGACAGTGTCTAAGCTATAACATGAAAAGGCTCAGTTATAAACCTTGGCTGGGTTTTATAGTCACTATATATAGTGGCTGAATTGTGTGCCCTAGAAAGATATGCTCAAGTCCTAACACCTGGTACCTGTGAATGTTATGTAACTGAGTTAAGATGAGGCTATATTAGATTAAGGTGGGCCATAAATTCAATGATTGGTTCCTTTTAAGGAGACACACAGAGACATGGACACACAGACACACATAGAGGGAAGAAGGCTATGTGAAGGAGAAGGCAGAGACTGGAGTGGTGCAGCCAACAAATGCCAAGGATTGCCCACAACCACCAGAAGTGAGGAGGGCTTCCCTGGAGACTTTGGAGAGAGCACAGCCCTGCTGACACCTCGATTTTGGACTTCTAGCCTCTGGAACTGTCAGAGAATGAATTTTGTTTTGCTTTGTTTTAAGCCACCCACTTGATGATAATTTGTTATGGCAGTCCTAGGAAACTAATAAACCATATGTCATTTTTGCTCAAAACTAGCCATGCTGCCTGGTTGAGATGCCAGGAGTGCACTTCCTCTAGCCTAAAGGCCAAAGACACCACAGACACTGCAATATTTCTTAGTAATCTCGAGCCGTTTTTTTTTTTTTTTTTTTTTGGTCTGTCTCCATTATCTTGAAATCTGGTGCTGCACTGTTGCTGTAACTCTCATAAAGTCTCACTGCTACTGAGAGGATGCTGGTGGATTACGATGAGGAATCAGTTGGCTCAGTGGTTAGGACATGATGTTGGTGAGGTCAAGGCCTTGGATCCACTCCCATTCTGAACACACTCTGCTCCTGGCCAGCATCTCACAAATGCGGCAGTTTAGAGAGGAGGTGGGTCAGGGCAAACCCAATGCTAGGCCTGAAAAAACAACTTAGAACTACGCTCTCTTCTCAGGTGTATCACAATAATATATAAATCCCAAATGCAAAAAAAAAAAAAAAAAGTCAAAAGGGTTTGGAAATTATATTAAAGCAAGAGGATAATAAAGCTGATACTGGATTGTTATATTAGTATCTATGTAAAATTGGAAAGATTATCATTTCTAGGTTGTCTAAGCATCACACAATAGACCACGTTGCTTCAAACCATTTGGCATGACTGTAGCTAATCCCTTGTTAAGTGTCTGTTCTCCCTTCCAGAAGGCAGGGGCTGAGTCTTCATGCACTGTGCTGTATTCCCAGGGTCTAGTCACAAGTATTGCCTATTGCCAAGTGAATGAATGAATACATAGAAGGGAGGAAGGGTGGGCAGGCTTGTTGCTCTGGTCTAAGGGTTCCTGTGCCTTGGGCAGTGATGGGCACAGGGCATACTCACTATCAAAGAGGATGATCCTGCCATCGCCACCACAGGGTTGGGTGTGATCCCCGAAGCAGACGCTGTTGCATTCGGTACTGGCTGCCTCCCCGTACTTCCAGTAATCAGGATTGTTTCCACAGAAGCAAGCATAGCCTGACTCCATCCCAGCAAACTGCCACAACAGAGAAGCAGCACACGGTAAGCATCATCAGGGATGTCAGATGGCCTGAAGGAGCCTGGTAGGGTGGGCTTCCAGCAAGCAATCAGGCTCATCTTCCCAGGGTCCCTTCCTCTGGGACCTCCCCCTTCTTCCACTCTCGAAACACTTAATTTCAAGCTGACCAATAGGTACGCAACCACCAATGTGTTTCCCTGTCGGTGAGCATCACTTTTTAATGTTTGTGTTTCTGCTGCACTTAAGTAAGTTTTAAGGGGGAGAAAATCTCATAAACTTCAAACATGAGTAACAGCTAAACACTTTATTGACTGTTTACTGTGTGCCAAGTAGTGAGTGCTTTATAGCTAACCCTCAAAGCAAACACATTATAGGCCCCATTTTACAACTTTGTTTTTACATTACCATATAGTATTTTGGCATATAGTTCTGTAAATTTTAATACTTGTATAGATTTGTGCAACCACAGCCGGGCACAGTGGCTCACTCCTGTAATCCCAACACTTTCGGAGACTGAGGCAGGTGGATCACTTGAGGTCAGGAGTTAGAGGCCAGTCTGGCCAACAAATGAAACCCCACCTCTACTAAAAACACAAAAATTAGCCAGGCGCGGTGGTGGGTGCCTATAATCCCAACTGCTTGGGAGGCTGAGGCAGGAGATTTGCTTGAACCCAGGAGGTGGATGTTGCAGTGAGCCGAGACTGCATCACTGCACTGCAGCCTGGGCAACGCAGTGAGACTGTCTTAAAGAAGAAAAAAGAAAAGATTTGTGCAACCACCAGTACAATCAGGATTCAGAACAACTGCATTACCCCAGGAATTTTCTTCGCACTGTTGCTTTATAGGTGCCCTACCCCAGAATCCCTGGCAACCACTGACCCATTTTCCATTACTATAGTTTTGTCTTTTCAAAAATGTCACATAAATAGAATCATACAGTATGTAATCTTTTTGAGACTGGCTTCTTTCAGTCAGCATAATGGCTTTGAGATCCATCCAAATTGGTGTTTGTATCAATAGTTTACTCCTTATTGCTGAGCAGAGTTCATTGTATGGATGTATCACAGCTTGTTTATCTGTTGGGCTGTTTCTAGTTATTCATAATTATGACTAGAACTGCTATAAGCATTTGTGTACTGGTTTTTATGTGAATATAAGTTTTCATTTCTCTAGGGTAGTAACTAGTAATGGAATTACTAGGTCATATGGTAGATGTATATTTAACTTTATTAAAAAGTGCCAAACTTTTCCAGAATGATTGTACCATTTTAGATCTGCACCAACAATATATGAAAGTCCTAGTTGCTCTGTATCCTTGTCAGCACTGTTATTTTCAGTATATTTTATTTTAGCCATTTTAATAGGTATGTAGTGGTATCTCATTATAGTTTTAATTGGCATTACCTTAATGGCTAATGATGTCGACTATATCGTCTTCTTTATCTTTGTTTGTTTTCTATTGTTTTTGAGATGGAGTCTCACTCTGTCACCCAGGCTGGAGTACAGTGGTATGATGTTGGCTCACTGCAACCTCCGCATTCCAGGTGCAAGCAATTGTCCTGTCTTAGCTTCCCAAGTAACTGGAACTACAGGTGTGCTACCACGCCCAGCTAATTTTTGTACTTTTAGTAGAGACAGGGTTTTGCCATTTTGGCCAGGCTGGTCTCAAACTCCTGATCTCAAGTGATACTCCTGCCGTGGCCTCCCGAAGTGTTGGGATTACAGGCTTGAGTCACCATGCCCAGATGACTATCTTTTCAGGTGCTTATTTGTCATCTGTATATCTTCTTTGGCTTCTTTTCATGTGCTTATTTGCCATCTGTATATCTTCTGTTCAGGTCTTTTGCCCATTTTTAAATTGCTTTGTTTGTTTTTTTTTAACTGTTGAGTTGTTTGGCTTTTTTTTTTTTTTTTAATTTTACACATTATGGATACAAGTCCTTTGTCACTTATGTGATTTGCAAATATTTTCTCCCAGGATATAGCTTGTCTTTTCATCCTCCTAAAAATATCTTTCACAGAGCAAGATCTTTAAATTGTTATGAAGTCCAAATTAAAATGTACCGATTTCTTCTCATCACGGGTCATGCTTTTGGTGTCTCATGTAAGAACTTTTTGCCTAAACTCAAGTCATGAAGATTTTCTCTTATATCTTCTTCTAGAAGTTTTATAGTTTTACATTTTACAGTTAGATTTGGGATCCATTTTGAGTTCAGTATGTAGTCTTGTGTTTAAGTTCTTTCAACTAGCCTACTGTTTAGGAAATTCATCCATGTTGTGTATAACAGTATGTCTTTTATTTATTTATTTATTTATTTATTTATTTATTTATTTTTTTGAGACAGAGTCTGACTCTGTTGCCCAGGCTGGAGTGCAGTGGCGTGATCTCGGCTCACTACAGCAACCTCCGCCTTCTGTGTTCAAGTGATTCTCCTGCCTCAGCCTCCTGAGTAGCTGGAATTATAGGCATGCACCACCATGCCCGGCTAATTTTTGTATTTTTAGTAGAGACAGGGTTTCACCATGTTGGTCAGGTTGGTCTCGAACTCCTGACCTCGTGATCCACCCACCTCGGCTTCCCAAAGTGCTGAGATTACAGCCATGAGCCCCTGCACCTGGCCAGTATGTCTTAATATGTCTCTTCTTTTTATTGCTGAGTGGTATTCCACAGTATGTATGGATATACTGTGCTTTGTTTCTCCATTCATCAGTTAATGGACATTTAGACTATTTACAGTTTGGAGCTATTATGAATAGTGCTGCTATAAACATTCATGTATAAGTCTTTGTGTGAACACAGGTTTTCATTTATCTTGGGTAACTATCCAGGTGTGATATTGCTGAGTTTTAAGGTGTGTATATTTAACTTTGAAATAAAATTTAAGATCTTTCTTCAAAGAAGCTGTAGCATTTTACATTCTTGCTAGCAGTCTATGAGAGTTTCAGTTGCTCCACATCCTTATCAATTCTTAGTATTTTCAGTATTAACTTCAGACATCCTGAAGTTGTGTGCAGTGGTATCTCACTGTGGTTTTAATTTGTATTTCCCTGACAACTGGTGATGCTGAGCATCTTTTCATATGTTTATTGGTCATTTATGTATTTTGGGGGGATAAAATGTCTCTTCAAATTTTTTGCTAATTTTCAAAATCAAGTTGTCATATTATTGAGCTGTAAGAGTTCTTTATATATTCTGTATACAAGTCCTTTATCAGAAATATATTTAACAACTACTTTCTCCTAGTCTGTGGTCTGCCTTTCATATTCTTAACTCTATTTTTTGAAGATAATATTTTAATACTGATAACTTCAATTTACCATACTTTTTTAAATGATTAGTTTTTGTGTCCAATTTAGAAATCCTTGTCTAAGGCCGGGCACGGTGGCTCAAGCCTGTAATCCCAGCACTTTGGGAGGCCGAGAGGGGCGAATCACGAGGTCAGGCGATTGAGACCATCCTGGCTAACACAGTGAAACCCCGTCTCTACTAAAAAATACAAAAAACTAGCTGGGCGAGGTGGCGGGCGCCTGTAGTCCCAGCTACTCGGGAGGCTGAGGCAGGAGAATGGCGTAAACCCGGGAGGCGGAGCTTGCAGTGAGCTGAGATCTGGCCACTGCACTCCAGCCTGGACGACAGAGCCAGACTCCGTCTCAAAAAAAAAAAAAAAAGAAAAAAAAGAAAAAAAAGAAATCCTTGTCTAACCCAATATTTTAGGATTTTCTGTTTATTTTTCTAGAAGTTTAGTTATTTTAGGTTTTTTAAAAACTGAAATGTAATTCATATAACATAGCATTCACTGTTTCAGTGTATGTTTCAGTGGTGATTGATATAGTCACTGTGTTGTGCAGTCACCGCCATCTAATTCCAGAACATTCATAACCCAGAAAACAAACTCTGTGTTGATTAGCAGTTGGTACCAATTCCTCCCGCCTCCCACCCTCTGGCAACCACTAACCTACTTTCTATCTCTATGGATTTGCCTATTCTAGATGATTCATATAAGTGGAATCATATAATAGGTGGCCTTTTGTGTCTGGCTTATTTTACTTAGCACTTATTTTTAAGTTATCCGAGCAAAATGCATTTACATCTTTACATTTTTCTATAGTTACATAGCCACAGAGTCATCACCTTGAACCTCTGACTCCGACAAAAACTGATGCAAGTTTGTATGGTGAGTTTGTTGGACGTTTTACTGGTGCCAGTTAGAGGAGGTGGGTTTCCATGATCCTTGTAGCAGCCAAGGTTTCCAGGCACTAGAGAAAAAAGAAAAACAAAAGAATTTCACAACATCTGGCTGTGAAACACCAAGGAGGAAAAGTGATTTGTGCCAGGTACTTTCATCTCAGCCAGTATTTCCACTCCTGAGGTACAAATAAACAAGCAACCAGCTTTGAAAATGGAAGCTTTAGTGTCATCTGCTAAATATCATGTTTTTGTTTTATTTTGAAGAGTATGTGAGACCTAGGTCTACCTTTAACTAACCAAATATGTTTTTTTAAAAAACTGTTTAATATTGATAGGATTTAGTATTGAAGAAAACTAGGAACAATTTCCTAAAAACAGAAAGACTCCAATAATGTAAATTATGTTTCAGAGTTACCAGAGGGCAGGAAAAGCCCTCAGAAGCCCACTATCCTATACCTTCTATGTAAGCTCCTAATTCCTTCAAAAATTCTACAAGTGGGATTCCTCAAGGACTTTTGGTGAATATATTAGTTTCTTTTTTTTTTTTTTTTTTTGAGACGGAGTCTCACTCTGTCACCCAGGCTGGAGTGCAGTGGCGTGATCTCGGCTCACTGCAAGCTCCGCCTCCTGGGTTCAAGCCATTCTTCTGTCTCAGCCTCCTGAGTAGCTGGGACTACAGGTGCCTGCCACCTCGCCCGGCTAATTTTTTGTATTTTTTAGTAGAGACGGGGTTTCACCGTGTTAGCCAGGGTGGTCTCGATCTCCTGACCTCGTGATCCACCCGCCTTGGCCTCCCAAAGTGCCAGGATTACAGGCGTGAGCCACCGCACCCGGCTATATTAGTTTCTTATTGCTGCTAGGACAAATTACCACAAACCTAGTGGCTTAAAATAACATAAATTTATTATCTTTTAGTTCTGGAGGTCAGGAGTACTAAGTGGGACTTATGGATCTAAACTCAAGGTGTTATCGGAGCCAAGTTCCTCCTAGAGGCTCAAGGGGAGAATCCATTCCTTGCCTTTTCAACCTCCTAGCAGCTGCCCATATGCCCTGGTTTGCAGCCACACCATTCCATCCTCTGTTTCTGTCAGTACCTCTCCCTCCTCCCTCTGTTTCTGTTAGCACCTCCCCTTCCTCCGTTTCCGTCAGCACCTCTCCTTCTTCCCTCTGTTCCCATCATCACCTCTCCCTCCTCCGTCTGTGTTCTTCATCTCCTCTCCTTCCTCGTTTCCATCACCTCTTCCTCCTCCGTTTCCATCATCACCTCTCCCTCCTCCCTCTGTTTCCATCATCACCTGTCCCTCCCTGTTTCCTTCATCACCTCTCCCTCCTCCCTCTGTTTCCACCATCACCTCTCCCTCTTCCCTGTTTCCATCAGCACCTGTCCCTTCTCCCTGTTTCCATCATCACCTCTCCTTCTTTCCTCTGTTTCCATCATCACCTCTCCTTCTTTCCTCTGTTTCCATCATCACCTCTCCTTCCTCCCTGTTTCCTTCATCACCTCTCCTTCCTCCCTATTTCCTTCATCACCTCTCCTTCCTTCCTCTGTTTCCATCATCACCTCTCCCTCCTCCCTCTGTTTCCTTCATTACCTCTTCTTCCTTCCTCTCCTATTTCCTTCATCACCTCTCCCTCTTCCCTCTGGTTCCTTCATCACTTCTCCTTTCTCCCTGCTTCCATCATCACCTCTCCTTCCTCCCTCTGTTTACATTGTCACATCGTCTTTTCTGACTCAGATCCTCCTGCCTAAGGACCCTGTGATTACATTGGTCCCACCTGGATAATCTATTACAAAATCTTTCATCATATCTGCAAAATTTCCTATGCCATCTAAGGTAACGTACTGACAGATTCTAGGGATTATATCATGAATATCTTTGGAGGGCCATTCTTCAGCCCACCACACTGAGCATATTAGTGTTTCATAGCCACACATCGATGGTTTGGTCTAGTAGAAAAAGCTGTAGCTGAGAACAAGAAAGCTAGATATATGTACCAACTCTTGTAGACAGCTTACAAAGATGGACCTCAATGATTCTGCTATGCACTCAATGTCTGCATACCCCTGTGACACTTGGTCTCTGCCCCGGAACAGAGCAACTCTCTGGGAATTTTCTGGGTGACCAGAGCATCTTTTGTTCTAATGAGACAACTCTTGGTAGGTTCCTGGATAGCTTCAGGATGGGGGTTGGTCACAAGAACGACCAAGCCATGATTAGAAGCTTGGAACTTTCAGTCCCACACCCCCACATCCGGAGGAGAGAGAGCCTAGACATTGAGTTAATAATCAATCATGCCTATGTAATGAAGCCATCATTAAAATTCCTAAAAGATGCCATTTGGAGAGCTTCTGGGTTGGTGAATACATATCTGTGCCAGGTATGGCAAACTCCACAAGAACAGAAGCTCCTGTGTACAGGATCCTTCCTGACCTCACCCTATGTATCTCTTCATCTGCAGTTCACCTATAGCCTTTTAGTTTTATTTTTTTAATTATTGAATTGAGACAGGGTCTCACTATGTTGCTCAGGCTGGTCTTGAACTCCTAGGCTCAAGCGATCCTCCTGCCTCAGCCTCCCAAAGTGCTGGGATTACAGGTGTAAGCCACCATGCTTAGCCACGCCTATGTCCTTTATAATAAACTGGTAAGTGTAAGTGTTTCCCTGAGTTCTGGGAGCTGTTACAGCAAATTATCAAACCAAAGGAGAGGGTTGTGGGAACCCCCAATTTGTAGCCAAGTTGGGACCCACTCCTTGCAATTGGCATCTGAAGTGGGGGGCAGTCTTGTGGGACTGAGTTAGGTAGTGCCATAACTTAATTGTAGGACCCCCAGGTGGTGTCTGGAAACTTGGAGAATTGGCTGGTTTGAGTCAAATCCATACATCTAGTGTCAGAAAAGAAGTGTATGAATGTATGGGAAAAGGTTTTCTCCCCCTATTACTCCCTAAAATTAATATATTGAAGCCTGAGTTCCCAATATGAAGGTATTTGGAGGTGAAGCCTTTGGGAGGTAATTAGGTTTAGATGAGGTTATGACGGCTGAGTCCCCATGATGGAATCACTGCCCTTATATGAGGAAGAGACCAGAGCCCCCTCAGCAAACTAGGAAGGGAGGCCTCACCAGGCACTGAGTCGCCAGCACTTTGGCCTTGGACTTCCTAGCCCCTTGAACTGTGAGAAATCAGTGTCTGTAGTTGAAGCCACCCACTCTATGGTATTTTGTTACAGCAGCCCAAACTGCCTAAGACAGATCCCCACTTCCTGGTATTCATGTCCTTGTATAATCTCCTCCCACTGAGTGTGAGCTGGACTGCTGACATGCTTTTGACAAGTAGAATGTGGCAAAGTTGATGGGGATGACACTTCTGGGATTAGGTTACAAAAGCTTATGACTTCATCTTGCTTGCAGACTCTCTATTGTTTTCTCGCTTTGTATATTTCTATGAAGCAATATGCCATGTCAGAGGCTGTGTGGTAAGGAACTGAGGGTGGACTTCAGCCAACATCCAGCAAGAAAAAGAGTTTCACCCAATGGTCTGCAAATAACTAAATCCTACCAACAACTGTGTGAGGTTGAAAGTGGATCTTTCCTCAGTTGAGCCTTCAGATGAGACTCCAGCTCTGGTAGACACCTGGATTGCAGCTTTGTGAGAGACCTTGAAGTAGGATCTTGCTAAGTCATACCCTGGATTTCCTGACCCACAGAATACATGATATAATGAATGTGTGTTGTTTAAGCCACCAAGTTTTAAGGTAATTTGTTATGCAGTAATAGATAATTAATATACCTTATAATACTATAATACTTACAATACTAAATATAGCTTTATTGAATAAAGAAATTAATTCATCATGGGTCATGGACAATGAATCTCTGTGGACCTTAGTTTTCCATCTATGAGACTGATTTATGAATCACTCCGCTATCAGCTGAAGTCCTTTCCCTTTCTCCATTTGTTCCCCATGGTTTATATAACTGAAGATACAACAAATGAGGCCTGGTCTCAGAAGCACTTCTAGGTCAGCTGAGAGTTATGTATTATACAATTCCAAAGTGACAGCCATATAGACACTTAGATAGCATTTTTTTCCTTTATGTTTCAGACTGGAAAACAGTATGGTCCAGTTTAATAAGCTTTATATCCACATTAGTCTGTTGGGCATATAAAAATATATTCATGCATATGTGTACATGTACACACAGACACACATATATTTTAATGTATTTCACCATCTAACCAGCTCATTTTAAGTTGGCAGGAAGTACCTCTCTTAACCCAAAGACTCACCCTTCCCCCTCTAAGCCAAGTGGTTACCTTTCTCCCTTGCGTCACACATGGTTCAAATATAACAAATGTGGCTCACCACACAAAAGTTAAAATGCATCCTTCGGAAACAAACTAAATCTCTATAGTAGCAAATGTAAACAGAAAAGCTCTATGCAGTAGGAGTCCAGTGGTGGGGGCGGGGGGCCCTGGCTTGGAAATGTCTGGGTTTTAGGGTTTAAACAACTGCAGTGAGTCAAGCTTCTCTAGTCAAGAGCATATGATATAAACCGAGTTTGTTAAAGGGACCTTGCGCGTGGAAACCTGAGCCAGGCATTTAATGGTTCTTAATAAGAGCTACTTGATGATGATCATCTTGGTCATTTACTCTGATTTTTGTCTCATTTATTCCGTTATGCTTACAAGTAAGCATGTTATTATGTATTAGTTTACAGAGAGCCTAAGGCATATCATCATAAATGTTAAGGTTAGACATAAACAAGGTCATGGCTTGCATTAACGCAGCTGGAACCTCTAAGCTTTATTAATTTGTTGAACAAATCCAGGTGGTTCGTGTTTCAATAGGACAGTGAGGTCTTGAAACACACCATGAGGTAGATCACTGGGAATCAGACCACAGCCTGCTGCCCTTCTAACCCATTTGAACATCAGTGGCCTAAGGTATCAAACTTGCCCCCAAAGGCAATCACTTGCCAATTGTGACACTGTCAGTTCTACCTCCTACAATATCACATACATCTGCCCTTGCCTCTCTGCTCATGCTGCCACTTCCCTAGTTTGGA